ATTGTGACATAAAATAAAACTTCTCCGATCGCATCATTAACTGTTGTAGGATTAAAGATCAGGTCCAGGATTCGAGTAAAATCGACCTTCCCTCTCATCCCAGGGTTTGGCAAGGAATTCAATCAAATGTTTGTTCGTTGTTCAATATCTCGGTTGCTCAAGAAGTTGGACTAGCTTAGCTGCTCCTCCGACCCGGAGTGGATTCTAGGGGAAGGGCAGAGCCTCACCTTGTAGTAGGAAGGTCTTCGTTGCTGGGACGAGTTCAAACTGGACTTAAGGGAGGAGGAATTAAATACTCCGATCTTATTGGGGATTCATCACTGGCTAGGGCTTTCGAATCAAAGCATGGGCATCCGCAACTACGAGGGAGTAGTAGATCGTCGATTGACGAGCCGGGTTAGTCAACTTCTATTGATTATTGATTCGACTAGAGGGGCTCCTAGCAGCAAACTTCTAGGAAGGGCCCTACGGAAACGCAGGAGATGCAGGAACGAAGTCACTCGACCGAAGGAACGAAGTTGCTCGACTGAAAGAAGAGGAGGGGAATATGTGAGACCGAAGGTTTAGAATATGTTCGACCATAGGGAGAAGGGCGAACGTTTATTCTGATCTCGTAGGGCAAAGGTTTATTATGAGCCCGAAAAGCGGAAGGTTTATTATGAGCCATAGGGTGAAGGAACGAAGTTGCTCGCATTTGAATTAGAACAAGAACGAGAGGGACGGAATATATGAGCTCGAAGGTTTAGAATATGTTCGATTGAAAGTTTAGAATATGTTCGACCGTAGGGAAAAGGTGCGAAGTAGCTCGCATTTGAATTAGAACAAGAAGGAGAGGAAGGGAATATATGAGCCCAAAGGGCGAAGAGAGAAGGGCGAAGGGAGAGGAGTGAATGCCAGCCGGATCAACCAATAAATGGTCCAGAGGGAGGGGCTCATTCGACTAATCAGAGATCCCAGGCCTGGCCCTACCCCCTACCTAACATAGAGATGTCCCTACAAAATAGGGGATTGGTTGATCGGAAAGCTCAGGCAGGAGGAGGTGAATCGAAATCTTTCTGATCCGCTAGCTCTAAAATTTCTTAATTGACAGGTAGGGTTTGGTTTTGTCTAAGGTTCCTTCTTCCGGTTGTAAAGCTACAGAAGCCATTCTCCCTGCTCCACCAGCAGTCCGCGTTTTTTACCCAGAAGGAATTTCAAAGGAAAGCAAAATATGTGTTCACTATCTACGGAGTGGAGTGACTATCTATCATTAATCCCCTCTTCCCTATCTCCCCCTTTTTCCTTTCCTTTTTAAATCCTTTTTGTAAGGGCGGGAGAATTCATTTCTTTTCTTGTATTGTTTATTTTGATTGATCTGTAATTCAAGGGCACTCTTCCTAATTCGAGTTTGAGATGGAATAAGACCCAGACGTAGAGTCGCATCCTTGAGCCCGGTAAGTGTGGAATATGTTCGAGAGTCCGGACATGGACTTTTCCCAACGCTTTACGCGAAGTCTTTGCTCGAAGAGCTGGGGGAGCAGAATCTCCCTTATTTGGAGTACCTTCCTTCGCGTCTTATATGGTGACGTACCTAAACTTTTTGTACTCATTTCTTTGGAGGTAGTGCACTTAGAATACCAGGAAATCCCCGAGAAAATGAAATGAAAGAATGGCACGACTAAGACGTTTTGAAAGTTGGGAGATTTCAATTGACCTAGCATCTTAGGAGAGGTTTAAGCTTGACTAAAAGTCAAGCGAAAGAAGCCCGCATACCCACTTTCCTCTTCCTCGCTGGAGAACAACCAGAATATCTGGGATTAATGGAAGAAACTGAACAGACTTATTTAGATTTCTATGGAATTACTGGATCTCTGTCGTCTGATAGAAAAGTACGGAAATATCTTCTTTTTTTAAGAAGAATGGGGTGTCCACTCATAAATAGAGAAAAGTAGAAAGACGGATCTTATTATGTAATGTAAATCGCTAGAAGATCTCAACATATTAATCGAGAATCTTCCATTTCTATTGGATGGGATGAGTTCTCCTTCGGATCCTTAGGATCCTACCACTATGCTTGAGCGATTCTTCCGAGGGTTGGTTAGGAGAAAGGGTATGGGTCAACAGCATACGCCCAACTTCGAATTCGGTTCAGACCATTCAGTATGTCAAAGGCTTGCTTTAAATCCCGGACAGGATAGGGTTCCCATTGACTTCGTAATTTAGACGAAAATGGAATGGTGATGTTGTGCACTTGGGTAGAGACGGGTGAGATTTGTGCCAACGAGGACATGTGAGGGGTAAAACTGACCTAGGGTGAATCCATAAAACGAATAGAAGTTCGCCCCCTGCAAGGAATAAGACGATAGGTAAGGCACGGACCAGAAGAGAGACCGTCAAAGCTAGATTCGATATCCATAGCATATGGAGAAGCAGAGAGATCAAGCATCTCCGGATATGGAAGAAGCCCTGCGCTTAGCTCGACTCCATCAGTAGTGGATTAGGTAGAGAAGATAGTTGTGAACGATTCCGCTCTTCTTGAAAAAAGCTGTTGCTATCAATGAGTCAATGCCCGGACCTGGCTCCAGGATAGAGAACAGATAGGCTCTTCCGTCTGTTGTCACAAGTCTTTTTGACTCAGCCGGGAGTGAACGAGATGATGATTCAAGTTCTCGTCAGTCCGTCTCAGTAGCTAGGACTGGTAGCATGCTTAGAGGAATCAATGCCATAGAATCTGTTGGTTGTGCTGCTATTGGACTACCTTGTGGTATGGCAGCAGTAGCAAAGAAAGAAGCTGGAGATTGCACTTAGAGCGCAAAATGTTATCCTGCTCTATTGTTACGTAGCAATAGAAGCCCGCTCATGCTGCTTCGGCGGCGCTTTTTCGCCTTCTCTTCGCTACGGACAGGAGTGCCAGGGGACACGGGGAGGGAGCAGGCGAAGCGTGTCGTTCGTAATGGAAAGAAAGATACCACTACTTCGCCTCTTTGTTGGGCCGCTGGCGCGAACACAGTGGTCTCTGACCAGGACCAGCAACCAATTCGAATTTGGATCTTGACCTGTTGGTGGTTTTTAACCGCAGGCATCTTGCCAGGAAGTTGGTGGGCTCATCATGAATTGGCTTCTTGTTCTAAGCAGGGAAACTTGTTCTTGCTCTCCGACTTCAGGAAGACGGAAATCGCCGGTTGGGTTAGTCCAACCAAGAAAGACATGTGATTTTTTGGGCTCCGAAGAGCATTCTTTTCCTCTAACTCGAAATTTCATAAGAAAAGAATGTTAGCCTAGTTCGCGTCCTAGCAAAGAACACGTAAGGCGTAGAATTTAAGGTAAGTGTGGTTTTTGGCCGATGCTAGTGGCCATTTCGGACAAGCTAGCAACGACACCCATTGGTAGACCGTTAATTGCAAATGTTTTTACCCCTATTCTTGAGCCGTTTGAGATGTTGATTCTCGTGTTTTAGGCTGATTTCATGCTAGGTTGTTCTCTTGTTTGTGATGTTTCAGGTCCTAGTATGTGAATGAAGGTTTAGGAACGAGTTCGGGATCGATTAGACGAAGTTTCGACGTTTGGCGAGAAGCTGAGAAGCCACACGGGCAGGCCTAAAAGCTAAACGGACGTGTAGGGGACCCTTTGTGGCCGTATGGAAATTCCAGGGAACTCACACGGGCACCCTGGAAGTCCACACGGCCTTGTGTGTCGTGGCCGTGTAGGAAGCCTGAAGCCACTTATCGAAACTCCGCGTTTTGACACTCACACGGGCAGCCTGGGAAAGTCACATGACCGTGTGGCTTGCCCGTGTGGTCGGGATTTTCTGGGTTTTAACCCAATTTCGAGCAAAGGAGAAGGGATCGACTTTTCAGAGCAGAAACATAGCCCTAGAGAGAGAAAGTGCGAAGAACACATCCCAGAAGTGATTTTGGAGCTGAGTTTCATCAATCGAGCTTGGAGATCATCATAGGAGTGAAGATCATCATCCTAGAGCAGATTGTTCCCATTGTTATGAGTATGACTGCTTTGTACTCTGTTTTCTTCTCTCTCTCTCTATGGAGTAGAACCCTCTCTTACTTGGGTATGAAGAACCCTAGTTCCATGTGTTAGGGATCATGATTGTAATGACTTGGGATTGCTATATTGTTTGGTTTTAATCGAATGATGCATGATTCATTGAATTAATTGAAGTCTGATAAGCTTTTCTTGATTTCTGCTGCAACCTGAGATAGATAGAATCTGATTAGGTTGTTAGAGCTTCATCATTCGGTAGTAGTAGATTGGTTATACGAGAGTTAGTCAGTCTACTGCTTTGTACTGGAATCAAATTCAAGTAGTGGAGTTATGTTTTCATAGCCTCAGCTTTCTATCCCGGTGAAGACTAGTCGTCTGCAGGGTAGTTGGAATGAGAGGGCTTGGTTAGCTTAAGAGATTCCAAGCTATTGTCGGATCTTCCGCAGTTTAATCACAGTAAATCAACCCAGGTTAATTACAACTGTGACCTAACTAAGGAGCTAGGGAGACTCATTCCCCAGTGACTATTCCTTTGCTTCAGAAAACCGAATCAATTCCTGCTTTCTTACTGCTTTTAGTTAAAACCACAACCAATCGACTTAGTTGGCTAGATAATAGATACTCACAGAGTAGGAAGTAGATCTAGACCCCGGGTTGATAAATAGACTTGCCACTTTACTGCATTCCTGGACTGCGATTACACTTGGTTGCAGTTTGGTGTTGTGTCGTAGCATGTCAAGTTTTTGGCGCAGTTGTCAGGGAAACTTCTAGGTTATTGGAGAAACGTGAAAGTTTGTAAATCTAGCCTTTTCTTTACTGCATTTTCTCTCTTCCACCTGTGTGCCTTCACGGATTGCTTTCGCTGATTGTGTGCAGGTAGTGCATGACCCGTAGCCAGTCGAGAGATTTACTACCATTAGACCAGGAGCTTGAACGGACCTGTAGGAACTTCAAGCGGGCTCTAAGGGCGCGACTGGCTGCGGAGGAGGCTAGCACAGCTGCAAATCGCCGACGAAGAAGAGATGGGTGATCCACGGGACCATGATGTGGTCCTTCCCGAGGAGCAGACCATGGAATACTACTGGATCGCCAGGGTCGCGGACATGTGGTCACCCATTCAACACCCTCATGTGCCAGCGAATAATTTTGAGGTGAGCACCTCTGTCATCACCATGTTGCTTCGGTTCGGTGGTGATCCTGGCAAAGAGGGGGAGTGCCCCCGATCACATTTGAGGCGATTCCACGAGCTCATCGATGGAATAAAGATAAATGGGGTCCCAGCCGATGCCATCCTGCTGAGGTACTTCCCATTTACTCTGGAGGGGCTTGGTGGCTAGACACTCGACCTCCAGGCTCTATCACCACGTTCACCAACCTGGCGGACAAGTTCCTCTCTTGCTACCATCCCCCGTCCAAGACGGCGGACCTGCAAAATCAAATTACCCACTTTGCTCAGGATGAAGATGAGACCATCCGGGATGCTTGGGAGAGATACACCAGTCTCTTCCTCAAGTGTCCCAACCATGGTTTTACTAACGCCTTCAAGGTGGGAATATTCTAAACAAAACACCGCCACAGCTGAATCAACTATTTGAAGAGATGGCAGAGCAGGGCTATGACTGGGGAACTGCGTGGAGATCGAGACGAGCACCAGGGTGGGTTGTGCAAGCTGTGTCCACCCAATCATCTGATTTGGTGCAGGTGGTATCGAAGCTGGATTCAGCCATCGATCGTGAGAGTTCTCATCACACCGTGGAGGATTGTCAGGCAATAAGGGAGTCTTCCACTCCCCATGAGCAGCTGGACTTCATCGGCAATGCCAGACGCTTCGACCCCTGCAACAACACTTACAACGAGGGGTGACGCCAACATCCCAACTTCTCCTGGGGTGGGGCAAATTCTAGACCATCAGTCCCCCAGGGACCACCTGGCTTCCAGAGGCCTCCGTACCAGCCAAGACAAGGGCAATTACAGCAGCCACAACAGCCTCTCTACCCGCCGGGACAGGGGCCAGTTCCACCTCAGTCACAAGTGCGGCCATTTCATCAGACAGGGGCACCACCTGCAGCCCTAGCACAGAGTGACCCGATGGCAGAACTGCGAGATCTGGTGGATTCTCTGGCCACCTCCAGTGCAAACAAGTTCAATAACATCGAGCAGTTCATGGAGAAAGCTTCAGGCAAATTCATGGAGCTAGAAGCTGGTCAGAGAAACACGCAGGCTGTGCTGCGGGATATCCAGACCCAGCTTGGGAGTGTTGCCCAGGATGTAGGTTAGAGGCCTCCTGGTACTCTACCCGGTCAGACCATCCTTCATCCGCAGAACCTGAATGAGCACTACAAGGCCCTTACCACCAGGAGTGGCAAGGTGACTGCCGATCCACCTATTCGGGCACAAGAGAGAGAGACCCCTGCTTCAGCACTTCCAGCTAATGAAAAGGAAATGGAGAAGGAGGTTGAGGTGCCTGCTCCTAAACCGCAACCAGTGGTGAAGAAGTATGTACCCCAGCTTCACTTTCCTACTCGGTTGCACAAGGACCGACTGGAGATTGAGTTTGCCAAGTTCATGGCAATGCTGAAGCAGGTCAACATAAGCATGCCCTTCGTGGAGGCATTATTTGAAGATGCCCAAGTATGCCAAGTTCATGAAAGATCTCCTCACCAACAAGAGGAAGCTGTCAACGGTTATGCTCAATGAGGAGTATTCTGCCATCCTGCAGAACAAACTACCAGAGAAGCGAAAAGACCCAAGGAGTTTCACTATTCCTTGCATGATTGGTAGTTTACATATAGGGAAGTCCTTGGCGGATTTAGGCGCTAGCATAAATGTCATGCCATATAAACTGTTTAAAAAGCTAGGCCTAGGTGAACCCAGTGATACTAGGATGAGCATTCAACTTGCTGATAGATCCATTGTGCATCCTAGGGGCATTGCAGAGAACTTGATAGTCGCGGTAGGGCCATTCTCATATCCAATTGATTTTGTGATTTTGGACATAAAGGAGGATGTGGATGTACCATTAATATTGGGTAGACCTTTTCTCGCCACCGTCAAGGCGCTCATTGATGCGAGCTGGGGTGAACAAATCACCTTCTCTGTTTCTGATAATATGAAACACCCCCTAGCTCCATGATGATCTAGACTACTGTGATGTTGTTGCTGATTTTGGGACCACACTCGCCATCACGAGTGCGGGTACTGACGATTTCCTTGAGCGTTGTCTTTTGCTAGGGGAACAAGCATCACAGGACGTGCAGCTGGAGGAGCAGCTCGTGGAGCTAGACGAGGCCGCGATCGAGGGGCGAGAGATACCATTCACGCCGATCCCTATCTCGGCCCAGATCGTTACATCATTGGAGGAGCCACCAGAGCTGGAGCTTAAGCCCCTCCCCTCTCACCTGGAGTATGCATTTCTCCGGGAGGGGAATAAGCTCTCGGTCATTATCAGCTCGAATCTGACACCCGAGTAGAAGAGCAGGCTGGTGGCTTTGCTGAAGAAGTATGCCCGGGCCATGGCATGGAAGATCACAGACATCAGAGGCATTAGTCCATCCTTTTGCTCCCACAGAATTCTGATGGAGGATGAGGTTAAGCCAATCAGGCAGCCACAACGGAGATTGTCTCCTAACTTGGAGGCAGTGGTCCGGGCAGAGATTGTGAAGTTCATTGATGCAGGGATCATCTTTGCTATATCTGATAGCAAGTGGGTCAGCCCCCACTCAGGTGGTCCTAAAGAAAGGCGCGATAACTGTGGTCCTGAATGAGAAGAAAGAGTTGATCCCGATGCGGACCATGACCGACTGGAGAGTCTGCATCGATTATCGGCGCCTGAATGATGCCACCAGGAAAGATCATTTTCCCCTACCTTTCATTGATCAGATGCTGGAGAGGTTGGCTGGTCATGAGTTTTATTGCTTCCTGGATGGCATGTCTGAGTATTTCCAGATTCCTATTGCACCAGAGGATCAGGCGAAGACCACATTCACTTGCCCCTTCGCTACTTTTGCTTACCGGAGGATTCCATTCGGGCTGTGTAATGCACCGGCGACCTTCCAGAGATGCATGATGGCGATCTTCGACCGACTGGTCGGAGAGATCATGGAAGTCTTCATGGATGACTTTCGGTTTATGGAGACTCCTTCACTCATTGTCTCCATAACTTGGAACTCGTTCTGAAGAGGTGTGAGAAGATTAATCTGGCACTCAGCTGGGAGAAGTGCCATATTATGGTCCGTGAGGGGATTGTGCTCGGGCAGAAGATCTCGAAGCAGGGGATTGAGGTGGATCGCGGGAAGATTGAGACGATCAGTAAGCTACCTCCTCCCATTTCTGTGAAAGGGATTCACAGCTTTCTGGGTCATGCAGGCTTCTACCGGCGCTTCATTAAAGATTTCTCGAAGATTGCCCTGCCTCTGACCAAGCTGATGGAGAAGGATGCACCATTCCAGTCCACTCCTGAGTGCGCAACTGCATTCGAGACTCTGAAGGAGAAGCTTACCCATGCACCTATCATGGTGACTCCTGACTGGTCTCTTCCTTTTGAGCTGATGTGCAATGCGAGTGACTATGCAGTCGGAGCAGTTCTGGGTCAGAGACGCGAGAAGCACTTCCAGCCCATCTACTACGCGTCAAAGACCTTAAACGATGCACAGGAGAATTACACCACCACTAAGAAGGAGCTCCTCGCTGTGGTGTATGCATTTGATAAGTTCCGACCCTATCTGGTGCTCTCCCATGTGCTGGTCTACACTGACCACTCGGCGATTCGCTACCTGATGAGCAAGGCTGATGCAAAGCCTAGGCTCATCCGCTGGATCCTGCTTCTACAGGAATTTGATATCGAAATCCGGGACAAGAAGGGAGCCGAGAATGTTGCTGCAGATCATCTTTCACGGTTGGAAGCCCCTCCGGTGGACAACTTCGTGGAAGAGATCGATGACTCCTTCCTGGGTGAGAGATTGCTGGCGATAACACTGGTGGACAACATGGTCCCTTGGTATTCTGACTTTGCCAATTATCTGGTGGGCAAGCAGCTACCTAAGGGGATGGCCACTCATGCAAAGCGCAAGTTCTTCTCCCACCTGAAGCATAACTTCTGGGAGGATCCTTACCTCTTCAAGATCGGAGCAGATGGCGTGATCCGGCGTTGTGTCATAGAGCACGAGATGGGAGACATCCTGTCTCAATGCCACAAGGGACCTACTGGAGGTCACCATGAAGGAAACCGCACAGCGCAGAAGGTGCTACAGTCGGGCTTCTATTAGCCCTCGCTCTTCTAGGATGCGGACACCTTCACACGACAGTGCGACCGCTGCCAAAGGTCAGGTAACATTTCTCCCCGGGATGAGATGCCCCAACATATTTCTGTCATTTGTGAAATTTTTTATGTTTGGGGTATCGATTTCATGGGCCCATTCCCTCCATCTTTTGGCAATCTGTACATATTGGTTGTAGTGGACTACGTCTCGAGGTGGGCAGAAGCTCACGCCATGCCCACCAATGATGCACGACGGGTCTGCTCATTTCTGAAGCAGCTGTTCTGACACGCTCCTACTGTCACTCTAGAAATTAGCGAAGTGTAACCACATCCTAAAGCGTAGTATAGCGGGTTTGGGTTTTAATGTCAACCCGGGTCCTAGATGTGATGACTACTCAGTGAATTCTTATTATCTAGCAGTAAAACTTAAGTGCAGGTTCAAACAAACAAAACAAACAAAGCAAGTTAAATGGTTTTGTTTTCAAGTCAAGAGAGGTCACCTCGATATGGTTCCTCCTAGACTGCAGTGAAGCCGGATTGCAATTTACCAAGTTCAGTTTCTATGATAGTTATACTGTGGAAGGTTCTTAAACAGTCTGAAGTCTCGACTAAAGGTCTCCAGACCCTCTCAATCTGAGTCTCTAGCGGGCGACTAACCTCCACCGGAGTAAACAAATTGAGGCCCTAACGAACAAAACCTCTCACTACCGAAGTGAGTTCGGTACAGAATAGTGAGCTGGCTCCTCGACTAAAGTCACCAACTCCCTACCTTCAATCAAGGATGCTCTATCAACCTAGGCAGATATTCTCATTCTAGGTTAAAGCAGAAACAACAGGAATTTGATCAGGATTCAAGTCATTCAATCATTCAAGCCTCCATTGAATATAATCAAATCATAGAATCTGTACTTGGGTTCATACAATCAAACCTAACATACAAATCTAGGGTTTCCCATACCCAGATGAATGGGAGAACTACTCCATGGAGAAAGAAGCAAAAGCAGATTCAGACGCGGAAATCATACTGTGAAGGATGGATTTCTGCTCCTAGACGTTGATCGACACTCCTCCAAGCTGAAGCCAAGCTCCAATGGTGATGAAGATCAAGCTAGGGCACTTGGGAACTCTTGTTCGTCGCTTTCTCTCTCTAGGAATCGCTATGTCTCTCTAAAACTCGAATCTCTCTTCTCTTTTGGCTGAAATCTGCCTAAAAAACCCGATTCTGGGCAAAACACGATCGAGGGCACGGCCGTGCTTTGCTTTTGCCCGCCCGTGTTTTGCCCCGTGTTAAAAACACGCCCGCGCGCGTCGGCCAAAACACGGTCGTGCCTAAATATGGGCACGGCCGTGTTTTGATTTAGGCGCGCCCATGTTTTTACTGCCGAACTTGTTCCCCTATATTCAATGCTTCGTTTCTCCCTCGTCCGGACTCCGAATCAGTCGCCGTTTGATCCCAGATGCTCGTAGTCTCATCCTCTTTCTTTTCATGACAAGCTTGCATGATTATTTGTCCATAAAGTGAGGTATAAATCCATTCTTCTTCAGGTCATGCCTGAGTTTCTTCTCCCTAATCGCCAATTGATCTCTGATTGACTTGAAACTTGCGCCTATGCTTCACTTTATGTGCTAGGACCTGAAATGTGACAAATGAACACAACCTAGCATACAATAGGCCAAAGACGCGATAATTAAAGCTCAAACAATCAAGAAACAAAGGGGAAAACATGTGCAAATATCGAGTCATCAAATCCCCCTACACTTAACCGTTTGCTTGTCCCCAAGCAAACCAAGTCAGACACAAGGTAAACTCAAAACGTTTCAATCAAGTAGGCTTTAGGGCATATCATATCGGCACAAAACACGTGGATCATATTGGCTTTTGATCATTAACACATGGACAACCTCAACGACAACCTAGACAACCACCACATATGACATTCGAATGCAATAAAGTCTAGCAAAGGAAGAGTTCCCTTCTGTTCACCAACCAACATAGACTTGACTCAACCACTTATTCAAAACAGTCACTTCATGCACAAAGCTCAAGATATCAGAATTAAGACCGAGCAATCTAGGTCCTCACCTGGATAAAGAGTATAGAGAATATGAGAAAATGAATCGCTCACTCTCGACCAGTGGGGTCAGAACAATTTGATGCAAAAAATGCGCATGCTTATTCTCTCAATCCCTAACCTCTCTTCACCATGAATGTAGCCTCTAAATGCTAGAGTTCACATTTGGGGTGTCACCACTAACTAATCCGGAGGTCTTAGACACAGGTTCAGATGACTGGCTAGGGTCTTGGACATGGGGAAAAGGCCTTTTAGGTGGTGGAAGTATTCATAGCACAAGGTTCCACATTTCCAAACCCAACAAACTCATAGTCAATCAAACCAATAACTTTCTTCCTGCTATTCTGCATTACTCAAATTCTTCAGAGCACAAGAGCGAAGGAGGTCACATAAATGCTAGTATTGCTAAGCCAGATCACTGAGAAACACTACTTAATGGGCACTATTTAGATTTTTGATGGTGGCTCTCTTTTGCTTTCATATTTTTCTTTGTTTTTTTTTTCATTTCTTAAGAGAACCACCACCTCTGCACATTTTTCAAACACCTGCCCAACTTATTAAGAACTACCTCCAACTCTCACATAAAACCACTCTGTGGAACCTTCTAAGAGATGCAAAAGGGTGATTTTTCATTGCAGACCGAAAGAAAGGGTAACACACGGCTCAAAGGGGCTGACTAGGGGATATGACACACCAGGACAGTCAATTTGGTCGTGGGCTAATCCTATGCCTCCATCATCTTAGCTAATGACAACGTGAATGCTGCACATCATGGAAGAGGGAACTATCGTACAAGAAAGAAACGAGCAGGCTCAAGTCTCACATGGCTGCCTATATGCTCTATCTCTCGTTCTGATTCCCTGAACTAGATGCATAAATGACTGTAAAAAGCAAGTGATCAATCCAAGTCACAGTTGGTAAGCAAACAGTTGAAAAACTGAACCCCTACACAGTTCTACTGCACATCTCAGTCATCATAATAAGTTGTCTTAGTCACACTCAAGTTGTCATGCATCAAGTCAAAAGCCATTCAATTCACTAATCACATCCACAATGCCAATACGATCAAACATCAGGTAAACAGCAATGCTTGGAGCCCTCAAATCTCGAGATTTGGACAGTGGACTAGGCTCCAAGCACACAAACAGATCTAATACAGTCAAACGATAAACATCCCCCCCCCCACTTAAGATCGACATTGCCCTCAATGGAGAAGAGGGGAGGATAAGGGGAACGATGTTACCGGTGTGCACGGACTACATGAGACTGGAAGCAGACCCGCCGAGTGAAGCGGACTGGAGAGGGACCAGTCTGGAACAAAGCACAGCTAAAGGGGAACAGAAGAGCTCAAACACAATATGTTAGGTCCAATGGTCAGCCCAATAATACATCATCCAAAACAAAAGAACACAAACCAAAACAAAACTGGTTTACAATCCGACTCAAAACACAAGAAAGAAAGTCAAACCGTGGTGGGGTTGCCTCCCCACAAGCGCTTCTTTACCGTCTTTTAGCTAGACGCCCATGGTGGATACTCAGCGGGGTGCAGGAACAGGTGACTCCAAGAGCGGGTCCACGTCACTTTTGAGGTACAGCTTCAGGTTGTGGCCATGCACTCGACGGGTGCGACCACCAGCATTGGTCAGCTCGACCTGGCCATCCGGCAAGATGCAGGCGAGTGAGTACTCGGATGGCCAGGGTGGTCGTGGTGCAGGAGGTGGAACCAGCTCGTAGTGGTCTCCACCTTTCTTCCGTGCAGGCTTAGCAACCTGCTGCTTCGGCCGCCACTCCTCCTTGATCTTTTTGTTCGGAGGCGAGGCTGGATGGAGTGGCGGCAAAGGAATGATAGGAGGGTCCTGCAAAATGAGAGGTGCAGAAGGATACACGACAGGCTCGTGTACCTGATCAGAAATGGTATGCGCGGGTGTGACAGCAATCATAGCACAATGATCGACTTCAGTTACAGAAAAGTAGCTTGTTCATTCCCAGCACGCAGGATCAGTTTACCATCATGCACATCAAGAAGTGCCTTGGCGGTGGCAAGAAATGGTCTACCCAGAATCAAAGGCACATCCACATCCTGATGTATATCAAGAATAACAAAATCAACAGGATATGTGAATGCACCTATATTAACAAGCAGATCCTCAATGATCCCCCTAGGATGCACAATGGAACGATCAGCTAGCTGAATGCTCATCCTAGTAGGGGTAAGTTCACCTAGGTCTAGCTTTTTATAAAACTTATATGACATGACATTTATGCTAGCGCCTAGGTCCGCCAAGGACTTGCCTACATGCATGCTGCCAATAGTAAGAGGGATAGTAAAACTCCCTGGGTCCTTGCGCTTTTCGGGCAGCTTGTTCTGCAGGATAGCAGAACACTCCTCGCTCAGCAACACTGTCAAGATATCCCCAAGTTTCTTCTTGTTGGTGAGGAGATCTTTCATGAACTTCGCGTACTTGGGCATCTTCGACAGTGCCTCCACAAATGGTATGCTGATGTTGAGCTGCTTCAACATTGCCATAAACTTGGCAAACTCAGTCTCTAGCTTGTCTTTGTGTAGGCGAGTGGGGAAGGGAAGCTGGGGTACATGCTCCTTAACTACTGGTTGTGGCTTGGGAGCAGGGGCTTCTTTCTCCACCCGCACTTCTGCATCGTCGGCTGGAAGTGCTGAAGCAGGTAGTGGTTCCTCCTGCCTGGCAGGGACAGGATCAGCGGATATGGTCTTACCGCTCCTAGTAAAAATGGCATCCAGCTGCTGGTGCGGCTCCCGTGGATTGGGGATGGTAGTGGCAGGTAGAGTTCCCGGGGCTCGGGTATTAATTTGGCGAGCCATGTCACCCATCTAGTTCTGCAAATCTTGCAAAATGACACCTTGGTTCCTCTGACCTGCCTCCAGTGAGGCTATGCTTTGGTCCAGCCTCGTGACAGTTGCCTGGGTGGCAGTCATAATGAAGCTAGAATATTTTCCAGCTTCGTCATCTGATTATCTGGAGCCGGAGCTGCTGATGGCTCAGTATACTGATGCTGGGGGCTACTGGAATGGTTGCCCCTGCCTAGGATGGTAGGACTGCTGCTGTGGGGCTGGCCCCTGTCGAGCCTGGAAGGGCTGCCTCTGCTGAAAACCACCAGCTGGTGCTGGAAAACCAGGTGGTTTAGTGGTGTTACTACTCTAAGCAAAGTTGGAATGCTGGCGCCACCCCTCATTGTATGTGTTACTGTATGGATCGAGGTCCCGCGCATTGGCGATGAAGGCCAACTGCTCCTGGGGTGTAGAAGACTCCCTCATAGCCTGGCAGTCTTCCACTAGATGATTTGAGCTCTCACACCACTGACATTGAGCTACTGGAGGTGTAGCCAAACCTCTGCCCGGAATAAGATTGTTGGGCTGCTTCAATGTCTGTACTAACTCAGCTACCTGCTGCTCGAGCCCGGATCTGGTCTCCATGGCGTGCACACCCCGGTCCTGGGAATGTCTGCCTCTACTGCTCTGCCCCTAGGAATGATATCTGGCAGCCAAGGTACTGATCATCTGGTTCAGTTCGGGTGGAGTCTTAGTAAGAATATCTCCTCCTGGGCATAGAGACTCAATCACCCTCTGGCTGTTCGGAGAGAGAGCACTGCAGAAGTTCCCCACTGTGAATGCATCACTGAAGCCATGATGGGGACACTGCCATAAATATCCCATGTACCGCTCCCATGCATCACGAAGTGACTCGTCTGGCTCTTGGCGGAAGTGAGTGATCTCCCGCTGGATCTCTGTGGTCTTCGATGCTGGGTAGTACCTGTGCACGAACTTCTCAGCCAGATCATCCCAAGAAGTGATGGACAATGAGGGCTGGGTCTCCAACCACCTCTTGGCATTCCCCGCCAGAGAATGGGGGAAGAGGTGAAGGCGGATTGCATCATCAGGGACACCGTTCAGCTTGAACCCGTTCGTCAGCTACAGAAAACAGGAAAGATGTACCCTTGCCTCCTCATCCTTCAAGCCATGGAACTGGTTAGATGATGTAATGAGTTGAATCCAGCATGGCTTGATCTCGAAATTGTTCGCTGGAATAGGTGGGTAGAGGATGACCGGGCGGATGTCGGCAATCCGTGGAGTGTATTACTACTCCAAGGTGGAACCCGGTGGCGGTGGATGATGATGAACCCCATCTGCCTGGGGTATGGGGTTGTTCCCCAAGACCTGATTTACCGGGGAGCCTGCTGAGGATTCCCCTGGTGTGGATTGTAATCTCCGTCCATCCCGTACTCTTCCTCAGAATCGCTGCTCAGGTGGCCGTCTATGCGCTCCTCCGTAGCCAGTCTAGCTCGCTGTTGTCTCATGAGTTGGCGACAGGTGCGTTCAATCTTTGGATTCAACGGCAGTAAAACTCCCGACTGGCTACGGGTCATGCACTACCTGCACACACTCAAGCAAGCAAACCCGTGAAGGCACAAGTGGGACAAAGCAAATAATGTGAAAAGAAAAGCTAAATTAACAGAAATCACTTTTCTTCAACAACCTAGCCGTCCCCGCCAACGGCGCCCAAAACTTGACACTCTCCTACTGTCACTCTAGAAATTAGCCAAGTGTAACCACTTCCTAAAGCGTAGTATAGCGGGTGCGGGTTTTAATGTCAACCCGGGTCCTAGATGTGATGACTACTCAGTGAATTCTTATTATCTAGCAGTAAAACTTATGTGCAGTTAAGCCTAGAATGCAGTTAAGCCGGATTGCAATTTACCAAGTTCAGTTTCTATGATAGTTATACTGCGGAAGGTTCTTAAACAGTCTGAAGTCTTGACTAAAGGTCTCCAGACCCTCTCAATCTGAGTCTCTAGCGGGCGACTAACCTCCACTGGAGTAAACAGATTGAGTCCCTAACGAACAAAACCTCTCACTACCAAAGTGAGTTCGGTACAGAATAGTGAGCTGGCTCCTCGACTTAAGTCACCAACTCCCTACCTTCAATCAAGGATGCTCTATCAACCTAGGCAGATATTCTCATTCTAGGTTAAAGCAGAAACAACAGGAATTTGATCAGGATTCAAGTCATTCAATCATTCAAGCCTCAATTGAATATAATCAAATCATAGAATCTGTACTTGGGTTCATACAATCAAACCTAACATACAAATCTAGGGTTTCCCATACCCAGATGAATGGGAGAACTACTCCATGGAGAAAGAAGCAAAAGCAGATTCAAACGCGGAAATCATACTGTGTAGGATGGATTTCTGCTCCTGGACGTTGATCGACACTCCTCCAAGCTCAAGCCAAGCTCCAATGGTGATGAAGATCAAGCTAGGGCACTTGGGAACTCTTGTTCGTCGCTTTCTCTCTCTAGGAATTGCTCTGTCTCTCTAAAACTCGAATCCCCCTTCTCTTTTGGCTGAAATCTGCCTAAAAACCCAATTCTGGGCAAAACACGGTCGAGGGCACGGCCATGCTTTGCTTTTGCCCGCCAGTGTTTTGCCCCGTGTTAAAAACATGCCCGCGCGCGTCGGCCAAGACAAGGTCGTGCCTAAATATGGGCACGGCCGTGTTTTGATTTAGGCGCGCCCGTGTTTTTACTGCCGAACCTATTCCCCTATATTCAATGCTTCGTTTCTCCCTCGTCCAGACTCCGAATCAGTCGCCGTTTGATCCCAGACACTCGTAGTCTCATTCTCTTTCTTTTCATGACAAGCTTGCATGATTCTTTGTCCATAAAGTGAGGTATAAATCTATTCTTCTTCAGGTCATGCCCGAGTTTATTCTCCCTAATCGCCAATTGATCTCTGATTGACTTGAAACTTGCACCTATGCTTCACTTTATGTGCTAGGACCTGAAATGTGACAAAGGAACACAACCTAGCGTACAATAGGCCAAAGACGCGATAATTAAAGCTCAAACGATCAAGAAACAAAGGGGAAAATATGTGCAAATATCGAGTCATCATGTTCTCCCGGTTTGGGACACCCCCGCCATCATTAGTGATAGACGAACCCATTTTCAAGGGCAATTCACTAAACTCCTCTCTCGCTATGGTGTTAAGCATCAGGTGTCGGTGGCTTACCATCCCCGGTGAAATGGGCAAGCCGAGCTGACGAACTGGGAGCTTAAACGAATCATTGAAAAGATGGTGGATCAGTCCCGCAAGGATTGGTCCACCAAGCTCGATGATGCTCTTTGGGCATATAGGACGACCTATAAAAACCCAATTGGCACTTCTCCCTATAGGCTTGTCTATGGGAAGGCGTGTCATTTGCCGGTAGAGCCAGAGCACAAGGCCTTCTGGGCCATTAAGCTGCTAAACCCGGATTTGAGTGTTGCAGTTTCTGAACGTAAATTGCAGCTGCTGGAGTTGGAGGAATGGCGTTACCACGCCTATGAGAACACCCTGCTCTACAAAGAACGAACCAAGCGTCTCCACGACGCTCGGTTGAGGGGCCCGAAGGAGTTTCAGGTAGGTGATCGTGTTCTGCTCTTCAATGCACGCCTGAAAATCTTCCCGGGCAAGCTACGTTTGAGGTGGTCGGGACCCTTCACGGTCACCCAAGTTTCCCCGCACGGTGTGGTGGAGATCAGCAATGCTCAAACCGAGTCATTCAAGGTGAATGGCCACCTCCTAAAGTTGTACTTGGGAGGTGCTGTCGAGCGCGTAGAGCTGCTGATCAAGCTCGAGGATCCTTAGTTCCTCTACTGGCTCCAGCTAAAAGACAGTAAAGAAGCGCTCATGGGGAGGCAACCCCACCTAGGTTTGCATTTTCTTACCTTTTTCCTTTTGATTTTTTGTGTTTTTTAGTCTTGAGGTGTTGTCCAAGAGTCGAATGTCGATTTTGAGTGAAAATAGGTCAAATTCGGTGTTCTGGCAGCCCACACGGCCAGTCCTACAACTCACACGGCCGTGTGGAATTGGGTTTTGGCCGTGTGGAGGCCCTGGACAGTTCACACTAGCAACAGGGGTCCCTCACACGGCCGTGTGGTTTTGCCTCTCGGTCGTGTGAAGGCTCGGCAATTTCCACACGGCTAGTTTTGCAATTCACACGGCCGTGTGGATTTTCTCGGCCAGCCCGTGTCGACCTACACGGGCACTATTGAACCTCACACGGCCGTGCGAGAGTGCCCGTGTGGCCGTGTAGGCGCCTATATATTTGGCCGACACGGCCGCGTGGCCAGAAAACCATAACTTTTCGCCTCTTTGGGGATTTTCCGGCCATCTTTTGTCAATTTTTCACCAAACCAGCACCACACCCAGCCTTTCCTCCCCATTGTCGGCCTATCCCTCGATTTTGAGGCGATTTGGACCGATTTTGAGTCGCCGGAGGCAATTTCCGGCGAGACTCCGGCGAGGCTCCGACGAGCAATTTCCGGGCAGATTTTGGGATTTTCGTCGCTTCCATTGCCTTCCCCCCATCATCCCCTACACCTCTACTTGTGTCTCCAGGTTTGATTTTGCCCTTAACCTTGTGAATTATGGAGAATTGGGTGTTAGGGTGTATGTTTATAGAACAACTTTGCATTGTGTGAATTGTGTACAATTGATTGAGGGGAAGGCTTGGTTTATGTGTGTATGATGTTGGGTAATGTCCCCCCATGCTTGATTGAGCCCTTGTGTGCTATGAATTTGTCAATTTTATGCTTAACTTAATAATGCACACAAGGTGTTCGATGAAATTCCTGTTTTGCATACCATTTTGTGGGAGCCGGTTGGGGGCCCTTAATGATGTCCTTTGATGGTTTATTTGCTATGGATGTAAACCTTAAGTTGCCTAATACATTGTGGATGTGCACCCCCACCCAGATTATGCTTGTTTGGTAGAGTTATTGACCCCCGAACTATGGATGAAACCATGGTTCGGCTGTTTTCTATTCTCAAGTGTGGGGGTGTGATTAACCTTTTCTATGGCTCTTTTGGCTCCACTTTGGGTTGTTCTTTTGCAGGACCATGACGAAACCCAACCTCAAGCACCCGTTTATCAGGGATTTGAAGAGGGCCCCCCACCAGGATCGGTTCAAGCGCGTCCTGGCCAGCTCGTTTGGGAAGCATCATTGTTGGTCCAGGCGAGAGTTTGAGAAGCTGAACTGCTTCGACCACTTCTCCACCATTGTCACCAACCGCCCTTGGCGCTGTCTGATATCCATTCGTGAGAAAGTTTACCACGATCTCGTGCTTGAGTTCTATACGACCTTCAAGCACGAGGAGACAGAGGATTGGGCAGACGGTGACGCCATCAAGTTTCGGCTCGGCGGTGCGCCCCGCTCCATGAGCTACCACGACTTGGCGACCGCTCTCGAGCTCGGCCTGGACGATGACAGGGAATACGTCACCGAGCTCAACAATCCGATGGGGGTGAACTTGAAGACGATGTACACCCATCTAGCTTAGCCCAGCCAACGTCCCTTCGTTGCAGGGCGGACGAAGGCCAGCACCCTGCAACTCGATAACTGCATTCTCCACCACTTGCGGGCAAAGTCCTACACTCCAGCTGGGGAGAGTGCCAGCACCATCACTAGGAGCGATATATTTCATCCAGTCCATCCGCCAGGCAGACCATCTTCTCCACTTGGGTTCTGTGGTAGCCAGAACCTTTGACAATAGTGCTTCAGAACTGAAGAGCCTCCACTGCGCTCCCCTCATCACCCGCCTGGCCACCTACTTCCAGATTTTCCTGCAGGGGTGCACGGAGCAGGGGGGCACTAGTGCTTTCGGCGAGGACACGATCAAGAGTATGCACCTGCTCCGAGTCGATCGAGGCGTCAAGTGGATTGCGGGGTTTCCTGAACCTCAGATCCTAGCGGAGGACCAGCCAGATGCTCCTGAGGACGAGGCTGCTGAGGATGTCCACCCCGAGGATGTGGATGATGCTGATGCCCCCCGGCCGACCACCTTCGAGTACGGGGGTAGCAGTTCCACCTTTCCATCTCAGGACTACTTCGCTCACCAGTTCCAGCAGCTGAGCATCCAGAATCAGCAAATCCTCGACCATCAGCTCCAGTTCCAGCAGCAGTACTCGGCTCACCAGGCCGAGTATCAGACCCAGATGGCTGCCTATAATGAGCGCCTGGACCGCATGGAGACCCAGCAGGGGGTGACTCTAGTTCACATCGAGCGGGAGAAGGCCCGCTCTCGGCGTATGCAGGAGGTCCATCAGCACCTACTCCAGCTGATACCGGGCGAGCAGCCAGTCTGGAGGACTCCTTGGGAGGACTCTCCCCTACAACCCCCGGCCGCCGGCGATGACGCCTTCATGGACGACATCGACTTCGACAACCTTGGCGATGAGTAGTCTGTACTCGTTGCCCCTCAGAGTGTGTTTTTGTTTAGGACTTTTTATGGTTGCTCCATGTGTTTGAGGAGCTTGAACTGAGTCTGTCGTTTGTTTTTGTACTTTTGGTTTTCTTTTGTGGATTGTCTATTTTTTGGCCATCTGGGCTAAACTCTTATCCCTAACGCACAGTGTGCTAGTGTGTTCTTTGTATTCCCTTCGTGCAGAACTGTCCGTTCGTTCCATATGTTCCCCGCTGACTGGTCCACTTCCAGTCTCCTGGCAGTATTTCAATCCGGTAACATCGTTCCCCCTTCTCTTTCCCTCGCTCCATTGAGGGCAATGTCGTGCTTAAGTGTGGGGGGGGTGTTTATCTATTGTTGACTGCTAGGTGAGTTTGTGTGCTTGGAGCCTAGTCCACTGTCCAATTTAATGAATTGAGGGATCCAAGTACTGTTCCCTGCAAAATCCTGCTCAGTCTGCTTTGAATTGACAGTCTTTATGGTGATATGAAATCTAGGGAGGTAGTTGTAGCACTATCGAGGATGTTGAAATATAAGATTTTTCCTATCTATCTCTCTACTGTGCCGGTTGATTTTGTGAACTAGTGGATTTAGGACCGTTGATTCATGTGGTATTGATGACTCCTCTTATGTTATGTTGTGGACTCGTGTATCGAAAAAGGGTGCTCATGTGAAAAATGAAAAGCAGTTGGTCCTCCATGTGAAAAATTTGAAATTCTAAGACATGGGGTAAGCCCAACGTGTGTGGCACCGTTCATTGCACAAAATCGATTTTTGGAAGAGATTTTAGTGATCCTTGGTGGGGTAGGCCTACAAGGTGAAGCTAAGTTGTCTCTGGTACAAGTAAAATCTCCACGCGTTGAACGGTTTGCCTACTTGAGGATGTGTTTTTAAGGGCACGGATAGAGCTTCCGACCCCCCCCCCCCTTACTTTCATTGAGCCTCCACACGAGTTGAGGAAAAGAAGTTAAAAGAAGTACTCCGGCGAGCGCCAAATGTACAGAAATTTCTCATGCTCGACTAATAAGGGTCGACCGTGCAAAAGACTGCAGTTGCAACCCCCGCCAAGTGAATAAAAAGAAAAAAAAGAGTAAAATGAAAATGAAAAAGGGGTTCCAACGGTGAAATAAAGTGAAAGAGCACCTTGGTACAACGAGTCCTTGGTTGTGAATGGTGTGAGTCTCTTTATCCATGAATTGACAGTCTTAGTTCCACTGCTTCTCATGATCCTAGCTTGAGTCTAGTACTCGCATTGAGTGAGATAGAAGGCGTCTTAGAAGACCAGTTGACCTCGTAAGTTGCTAAACGATCTAGAAAATCCTCTGCCGACGATCGGGGTTGCATGTTGCTATAGAGGTCTAGAGAGTTGCATTGGTTTCAGTCAGGTTTGCTTGGAGACAAGCATATGGTTAAGTGTGGGGGAGTTTGATAGACCGTTAATTGCACATGTTTTTACCCCTATTCTTGAGCCGTTTGAGATGTTGATTCTCGTGTTTTAGGCCGATTTCACGCTAGGTTGTTGTTGTTTGTGATATTTCAGGTCCTAGTACGTGAATGAAGGTTTAGGAACGAGTTCGGGGTCGATTGGACAAAGTTTCGACGTTTTGCGAGAAGCTGAGAAGCCACACGGGCATGCCTAAAAGCTACACGGCCGTGTAGGGGACCCTTTGTGGCCATGTGGAAATTCCAAGGAACTCACACGGGCACCATGGAAGTCCATACGGCCGTGTGTGTCGTGGCTGTGTAGGAAGCCTGAAGCCACTTATCCAAACTCCGCGTTTTGACACTCACACCGGCAGCCTGGGAAGTCACACGGCCGTGTGGCCTGCCCGTGTGGTCGGGATTTTCTGGGTTTTAACCCAATTTCGAGCAAAGGAGAAGGGGACCTACTTTTCAGAGCAAAAACAGAGCCCTAGAGAGAGAAAGTGCGAAGAACACATCCTAGAAGTGATTTTGGAGCTGGGTTTCATCAATCGAGCTTGGAGATCATCATAGGAGTGAAGATCATCATCCCAGAGCAGATTCTTCCCATTGTTATGAGTATGACTGCTTTGTACTCTGTTTTCTTCTCTCTCCCTATGGAGTAGAACCCTCTCTAACTTGGGTATGAAGAACCCTAGTTCCATGTGTTAGGGATCATGATTGTAATGACTTGGGATTGCTATACTGTTTGGTTTTAATCGAATGATGTATGATTCATTGAATTAATTGAAGTCTGATCAGCTTTTCTTGATTTCTGCTGCAACCTGAGATAGATAGAATCTAATTAGGTTGTTAGAGCTTCATCATTCGGTAGTAGTAGATTGGTTATACGAGAGTTAGTTAGTCTACTGCTTTGTACTGGAATCAAATTCCAGTAGTGGAGTTCTATGTTCATAGCCTCAGCTTTCTATCCCGGTGAAGACTAGTCGTCTGCCGGGTAGTTGGACTGGAAGGCTTGGTCAGCTTAAGAGATTCCAAGCTATTGTCGGATCTTCCGCAGTTTAATAACACTAAATCAACCCAGGGTAATTACAACTGTGACCTAACTAAGGAGCTAGGAGGACTCATTCCCGAGTGACTCTTCCTTTGCTTTAGAAAACCGAATCAATTCCTGCTTTTCTTACTACTTTTAGTTAAAACCACAACCAATCAACGTAGTTGGCTAGATAATAGATACTCACGGAGTAGGCAGTAGATCTAGACCCTGGGTTGATAAATAGACTTGCCACTTTACTGCATTCCTGGACTGCGATTACACTTGGTCGTAGTTTTGGTATTGTGTCGTAGCGTGTCACCCATCTTGTGAGCTTTAACATTTAGAGGCTATCGTCATGGTAAAGGGAAGTTAGGATTGAGCGTGAATATGCACATATTTTGCATCAAATGGTCTTGACCCCACTGGTCGAGAGTGAGCGATTCATCATCACGTTTTGTTTATTTCTTTTACCCCAGTGAGAACCTAGGTTGCTCGATTGTTCGTTCCTATGATGTGATCTTCATGCATGAGTAATGTGAGAACTCTTCTTTTGCACAATCTTAATAGAGTTGAATGTCGTTTGTGGTGGTTGCCAAGATTACTTTGTTATTGTCCATAGGTCGGTGTCAAATGACCATGTGATTCATTCGTCTTGTGCCCTATGACATGCCCCAAATATTGTTTTGAAAAATAAGTTGTAAGCTTACCTTGTGTTGCACTTGGTTTGCTTGGGGACAAGCAAACGTCTAAGTGTGGGGGTGTAATTCGGGCCCAAATGTACACATTTTACCTGAAGTTACTGACAACAAGGCAGTTCACGGTCTTTAAGACCATAAACTGTGGCCATTGACTGTGAACCCAGGAAGCAAGGCGGTGCATTTTGGAGACGACTGAGTTCACGGACATGTTTAGGTGTTCACGGCCGTGAACTGGCCAACGCGTCCGTGAACTTATCGCTTTCGGGCAAATATGAAGACGGCAGCATGGAGAGAGAAAGGGGAGGTGGTTTTTGGAGAAGAATTGGTTTCATTCTCTAGGGTTTTCCAAAAAACATCAAAGGGGAGTTCTAGTGAGAGAGAGAGAGAGAGAGTGCTAGAGTGATCTTGCAGCATCATTGGAGGCTTGGGTGGAGATTCAAGCCTAGAAGAAGAAGAAGATCTTGAGCTCAAACTTGTAATCCCTCTCTCACTCTCTAGAAACTCACTTTGTTCTCTTGGTTGTTGTAGATCCCTAACTAATATTTTGTAATTACTTGTTTAGATTGAATGATTGTTTATGGGTATTGTTTAATCCAATGAATGAGGTATTATTCATGTTTAGTGTGCATGCTTGAGTGAGGGAGTAAGTCAACCACCAATTGCCTAAACCGAGAGGTCCGAGTGACATGACTATAATGTTCACCTCGGTTTAGCAATTGAGATTGTGGTCTACGACCATATAGGCATCCCTCTGCGGTTCATGGTTACCTTGCCCATAGCAATCGTTTCAATCCAACGAGTCACGATAGCTAGTTAGGGGGAGGTAACTCCTGGGTGAAGCTCCCTTAGTTGGAATTTTCCTTTGTTTAATTTTCTTCGCTTGTTTAGTTTGTAGTTTCATTAGCTCTAAACACAAAAGTTTTTTGCTAGATAACAACCTAAGCGATTGAGGTTCTACATCTTCAACCTAAACCTGAAGGTTCTATGGTTTTGACTAAAACCCCTCTCTTCAACCCACGACCACTAGCATCGGCCAAAACCCTTATCTCTCCTTTCCAAACTATCACCCATCATGAACTACATTGAAGTACTCTTGCTAGGTTATTACAAGCACAATACATAGTAGTAGTTTATGTCACACACACTGAAATGACCCGACCTTTTTCAACAACCAAACCATAACAAATCAAAAACTGGTTACTCCGGAGCAACCCAAACCACATTTTAAAATAAACAAACTGACATTAATTAAAATTTTAAACGAAAAGCCCCAACACTTGGGAAAAATCTCAATCTCAAACACTTAATACAACTTAACAGAGAATCTTTGAACCTTGAATCTCTAGTACATATACTCATAATCATGAACAAAATAGTTAAACTAACTCTAGCTCGAATTCCTGGTTGAGTTCCTTGAGGTCTCGTCCATGCTGGTGCAGTAGCTCGCCTCACACTGCCTCTTCTCGGGATCCACCTTTGCTAACCCTTCCTCAACCTGGTGAGTGAGAAGGGGTCAGTCTCATCGTTACTTCCTAAGGTCTTTGCCCTCAGCAAACTCCTTACCAAAACACGTTATTAGCGTTTCCTTTTCTTAGATGAAAGTCGTTCTCGCTTCCATCCTTAATACTTATTTCAACACCACTAATAGAAGATCTTTACTCATATCTTATCTTATAGAAGTTCTCAACTTCTATCCTTAATATTTTAGTCCTCGATAGCTTATAGAAGTTATGTACTTCTATCTTAACTTATATACTTATTACAAGGGTTCACCGCGTTACGTATCGCCGTCTGGTGCCCCTATCCTCAAGGCAATGGTACTGCGTTACGTATTGTCGTCCAGTCCGGGAGGCAGTGGCCCAACCGCCCGGGGGTTCATCTTACCTACAAACACACATCACATACATAGCACAACGCGTGCCTCCACCTTAAGTAGACGGTGGGATGCCTCACACACATAATCGTGCTTACTTAAAAATTAAAAACATAACTGAATTAAAGGACATGAACTAAAAAACCTCGACGGAGGTTTTACCCTCTTTACACTCATCTCAATATTCAAAGTGGACTGACTTGAATTAACCATCTTCCTAGCTTGAACTGGTTCGTGCCTCTTGCCAGAATGCTTAGCAAATAGTATTAACCTTCAAACACCCCATGACTAAAGCGCTTCAGTTTTCCATTAGAATGAATAATGGCTGCAATAACCTTTTAGATTAATTATTTACTAATGCAACGCATCTCCCCCATTTCTTTCATGAGCCATATTCCTGTACGTGTCCATTTTCTAGGTTAGCCACTTAGCTTCCTCAAAATTTCCATTCCACCCAAATCATGCCCAATCCTTGCATTATCCACGTAGCATGTTCCCATCCTCAAATGTTTGTGTTCATAAAATCAATGCCCCCCTTTCCCTAAGCTTATAGAAATCTATACTTAAACATACAGATGTGCGTCCATATCCTGTCCTCGCAATAATTAGATGAAGAGTGTGAGTTGGTCGTACTGCCCTCAAGACGACACCATATATACTCCAACGTTGTCGTCTGTCCGCAAGGATTTGTTCCGCCTCTCATTATACCACTCTCAGCCTCGTAGCTCCCCTGACTGCCGAGCTTGCACAACCTTTCTGCTCGGTAATTGTGGTAGCCACCCAGTCTTCAATGACCAATTCCGATCACCATTGGCATCCCCGCTTATCTACTATCAACGTAGTAAATTACCCAGCGTCGTTCGATCGAATCCTTCTGCTTCCATCGGTTGCGTCGCGGGCCTTTCTAGCGACGAGCACACCATTTTGACGATCCCTCCCCAATTCTTAGTTGGTAGCATCACTTTCCTCTCGGCGCAATGGGTCTCACTATCTTCCTCTACCTGGAACTTGGTGGTATTCCTCTTGAGGAAAGGTTGGGATGAAGTTTATGAAGAGTGGGGAATATAGGTAACAGCTGCTGCTAGGTAACGCCTCTTGGGAAAAGAAGAATGAAGGGTTGGTCGGGTGGGTTTCTTGCGGGAGATGTAGGTAACTCCTACCGCTTTGGTTGAATTGTAACTAGTATAGGCATCATTAGGGTTAATAATTAGAAGTAATATTTAAGTTAAAAAAAACTCAATGATTGCCCGTGTTACTGTACCCAACCATAGATCTGACCCATTAATTTAATATGGTCAAACCTGAACCCAGAAGTCGAGGTGTTACACACAAAAACAAAATACAAGTTCAGGGTTACAAGTAGAGAAGTGGGGCGAAAGGACTCCACTCTGCCACATGTCTCACTCGTCGGCTACCTGTCTGCGCTGGAAGGACCCTCTCCAGCATCTGGGACGATACCCTAACGTTGGTCGAGGCTAAGATGTCGGTCTGTTGGTCGAGGTGGAATGAGAATCCCATGAAGTTCGTCTTTAGGCGATCCACCCTCTGGACGAGGGGATCGCCTGCTACTAGGGGATCGCCTGGACGAGGGGATCATTCATTCAATCACATGTACATCAACATTACAAAATATTTGGAGCACAAATCCCCCTTATTGTATGATTTGGAGTCGGTACTAAGAGTTCGTACTCGTGCACGTATTGTCATTATGACACAATTGAAAGGTTTATGTGTATATATTACTAAACCAATCATTGAATCACATGTCCATCAACATTACAAGACATTTGGAGTGCAAATCCACCTTATTGTATGATTTGGAGTCGGTTCTAAGAGGTCGTACTCATGCACGTTTTGTCATTATGATACAATTAAGCGGTTTATGTGCTTATATGACTAAATAAATTATTGAATCACGTGTCCATAGAAATTACAAGACAGTTGGAGCTCAACTCCACCTTATTGTATGATTTGGAGTCGGTACTTAGAGTTCGTACTCATGCACTTTTTGTCATTATGACACAATTAAGCGGTTTATGTGTTTATATGAGAAAACCAATCATTGAATCGCATGTCCATCTACAATACAAGACATTTGGAGTGCATATCCTGCTTATTGTACAATTTGGACACGGTACTAAGAGTTCGTACTCATGCAAGTTTGTCATTATGACACAATTAAGCGGTTTATGTGTATTTTTACTAAACCAATCATTGAATCACATGTCAAACAACATTACAAGATATTTGGAGCGCAAATCCACCTTATTGTATGATTGGGATTCGGTACTAAGATTTCGTAATCGTGCACTTATTGTCATTATGACACAATTAAACGGTTTATGTGTTTATATGACTAAACCAGCACATGTCCATCAATATTACTGGACATTTGGAGCGCGAATCCACCTTATTGTATGATTTGGAGTCGGTACAAAGAGTTCGTACTCGTGCACGTATAGTCGTTATGACACAATTGGAGAGGTTTATGTATTTATATGACTAAACCAATCATTAAATCACATGTCCATCAACATTATTAGACATTTGCAGTGCAAATACAACTTATTGTATGATTTGGTGTCCCTACTAAGAGTTCGTAGTCGTGCAAGTTTTGTCATTATGACACAATTAAGCGGTTTATGTGTTTATATGACATAACCAATTATTGAATCACATGTCCATCAACATTGCAAGACATTTGGAGTGCAAATCCACCTTATTGTATGATATGGAGTCGGAACTAAGAGTTCGTACTCGTGCACGTTTTGTCATTATGACACAATTAAGCGGTTTATGTGTTTATATGACTAAACAAATCATTGAATCACATGTCCATCAATATTACTAGACATTGGGAAAATCCAACTTATTGTATGATTTGGAGTCGGTACTAAGAGTTCATACTGGTGCACGTATTGTCATTATGATACCATTAAGCGGTTTATGTGTTTATATGACAAAACCAATCGTTGAACACATGTCCATCATCATTACAAGACATATGGAGTGCAAATCCACCTTATTGTATGATTTGAAGTCAGTACTAAGAGTCCGTACTCGTGCACATTCTGTCATTATGACACAATTAAGCGGTTTATGTGTTTATATGACTAAACCAATCATTGAATCAAATTTCCATCAACATTACAAGACATTTGGAATGCAAATCCACCATATTGTATGATTCGGAGTCGGTACTAAGAGTTCTTACTCGTGTAAGTATTGTCATTATGACACAATTAAGTGGTTTATGTATTTGTATGACCAAAACCATCATTGAATCACATGTCCATCAACATTACTAGACATTTGTAGTGCAAAACCCACTTATTGTATGATTTGGAGTCGGTACTAAGAGTTCGTACTCGTGCACATTTTGTCATTATGACACAATTAATCGGTTTATGTGTTTATTTGACAAAAGCAATCATTGAATCACATTTCCATCAACATTACAAGACATTTGGAGCGCAAATCCACCTTATTTTATGATTTGGAGTAGGTTTTAAGAGTTCGTACTCGTGCACGTTTTGTCATTATGACACAATTTAACGGTTTATGTGTTTATATGACTAAACAAATAATTGAATCACATGTCCATCAACATTACAAGACATTTGGAGCTCAAATCAACCTAATTTTTTGATTTGGAGTCGGTACTAAGAGTTCGTTGACTCGCTCCTACTTTCACTCGAGAAAATGGCCAACTGTAACCACCTCCTAAAGCGTAGTATAGAGGGTTTGGGTTTTAATGTCAACCCGGGTCCTAAGTGTGATGACTACTCTGTGAGTTCTTATTATTTAGCAGTGAAAGTGTACTGAAGATCCAAACAAGCAAACAAGCAAAGCAAGTAAAGAGGTTGTTTTCAAGTCGAGAGAGGTCACCCGGATATGGTTCCCCCTAGACTGCAGTTAAGCTGGATTGTAATTTACCAAGTTCAAGTTCAATGATAGTTATACTGCGAGAGGTTCTTAAACAGTCTACAGTCTCGACTAAAGGTCTCCATACCCTCTTAATCTGAGTCCCCAGCGGGCGTCTAACTTCCACCGGAGTAAACAAATTGAGGCCCTAATGAACCAAACCTCCACTACCGAAGTAAATTCGGTACAGAATAGTGAATTGACTCCTCGTCTAAAGTCCCCAATTCACTACCTTCATCAAGGGTGCTCTATCAACCTAGGTAGATATTCTCTTTCTAGGTTAAAGCCAAAATAACAGGAATTTGATCAGCATTCATGCCATTCAACAAATCAAACCTCAATTGAATATAATCAAATCATAGAATCTATACTAGAGTTAATACAATAAGACCTAACATACAAATCTTGGGTTCTTCATACCCAGGTGAATAAGAAAGTTACTCCATAAAGAGAGATGGGAAATGTAGCTCAGATGCGAAAACCATACTTTGAAGGATGATAATCTGCTTCTAGCACTCAATCAGCTCTTCTCCAAGCTCAAACCGGGCTCCCATGGTGATGGAGATCGATCAAGGACACTTGCAGAATCAGGTTCCTCACTTTCTCTCTCTAGGTATTGCTTTTTCTCTCTAAAACTCGGAACCCCTTCACTTTTGCCCTTCTTTTCCCTTAAGAGCCTGTCTGTCGCGATCCCTGGCCTGCATACCCGGTCGGGTATTTTAAGTGGAGACCGGGTATTATCAAAACGCACCGTCGGGGAATAGGGGAAAATCCCCAGTCAAGGCCAAGATCCCTGACCGGGGATTTAAGCTTCACGACCGGGCCCCCTTCTGCTTCTCAGACGCCCAAAACTCCTTTTCCCCAGTCTGCTCATAATAATACCCGGCCGGGTATTTCTGCCCATGGCCGGGTATTTTGCTCCTCCAGCACACTTCGACCCAAACGTACTCCTTTCGACCCGAAACTCGTTTCTTCGCCTCGATGCCAATGCTAAGCCCTGAAATATGACATAAACGCACAACCTAGCGTGAAATCGGCTTAAAACACGAGAATCAACATCTCAAATGGCTCAAGAATAGGGGTAAAAACATGTGCAATCAATGGTATATCAAATTCCCCCACACTTAACCGTTTGCTTGTCCCCAAGCAAACCTAACTCAAACCAATGCAGCTCTCCCGACCTCTATAGCAACAAACAACCCCGATCGTCGGTAGAGGATTTTCTAGATCATAAAGCAGCTTACTAGGTCAACTGGTCTTCTAAGACATCCCCTATCTCTCTCAGTGCGAGTACTAGACTCAAGCTAGGATCATGGGAAGAAGTAGAAGTAAGACAGTCAGTTCATGGATAAAGGGACTCACACCACTCACAACCAAGGACTCGTTGTACCGGGGTACTCTTTCACTTCATTTCACTGTTGGAACCCCTTTTTCTCACTTTCATTTACATTTTTTTTCTTATTTCTTTCATTTGGCGGGGTTCCAACTGCAGTCTTTTGCACGGTCGACCCTTATTAGTCGAGCAAGAGCAATTTCTGTACCTCTGGCGCTCGCCAGAGTACTTCTTTTAACTCCTTTTCCTCAACTCATGTGGAGGGTCAATGAAATTAAGGGGGGTCGGAAGCTCTATCCGTTCCCTTAAAAACACATCCTCAAGTAGGCAAACCGTTCAACGGGTGGAAGTTTTACTTGTACTAGAGACACCTTAGCTTCACCTTGTAGGAGTACACCACTAAAGATCACTAAAATCTCCTCCAAAACCCGATTTTGTGCAATGAACGGTGCCACACACGTTGGGCTTACCCCATGTTTAAGATTTCGATGATTTCGACATGGAGGACCAACTTCTTTTCATTTCCCACATGAGCACCCTATTTGATACACGAGTCCATAACACAATCCAAACATAGTCACCATTACCACATGAATTCAACGATCTTAGCTCCACTAATTCACAATATCAACTGGCACAACAGAGAGCTAGATAGGAGAAATCTTATACTTCAACATCCTCCATAGTGCTACACTACCTCCCTAGGTTGCACATTACTATAGAGACTGTCAATTCAAAGCATACTGAGCAGGCAATTTGCAAGGAAACACGTACTTGGAGCCCTCAAATTTAAAAATTTGGACAGTGGACT